GGGAGAGGTGGGTTGCTATATGGAAATATGAATCTTGTAGGGTGAGGACTGAGAACCAAATCACCTAGATCAAGAGATGGTATTACTACTGCAAGTGTTACCATTTTGAATTTCTGTGTCTTCACAAACCTGTTAAGGAACCTCGGATCTAGAAGGGGTTTCCACTCACTTTTTTTTTTTTTTTTTTTAAGAACCAGGAATTACCTGAAATAAAATTGGTTCTACAGTGCTAAAGTTCAGGAGTGAACCTACCGTATTTCCCACTTTAGTATGGTGTTATGAAGAGTCCCTGAAGAAGGAAAAGGAAAGGAGGTTGGATGGAGGGAAAGAAGTAAAGTGGATGGAGTATCCTACTGATACGGTCTCCAAAACCCTACATCTATAGTGATATGCTTTTAAGCTTATCAGAAGTGAGAAATGTCTTCCTTGCTTTTGGCTGTGAGTCATTGCAGCTGGTAAGGAAAAAGGTGCAGAATAACTCAAAAATCTGACCACCTCAGCAACATTTGTTTTTGGTAGTAAGAGTTGTTAGTCTGATGTCCCAGAGACCTTATGAGCTCAAAAAAAGAGACAGAGATTCTAGAGAAAGAGACCATCTTATACACAGTCTCTTTTGTTGAACTCATAAGGTCTCTGGGAAACAAAGAATTGAACAAAACAAGGTCTCTGTGCTGTCTGGGAATTAATAGATTTACTAGGTTGATCAAAGCTACTGCATATCCATCTACTTCTGCTGTGACTGACAACACACCTGCTGGTGGACAGTCACAATTAAGCAACACAGTTCAATTTTTGATTGTTTACAAATTATGCATAGAGTAAAATGTTCCAAAATGTATTTGTTGAATGAATTTGAATGGTTAACAAATTTGAGGAAATATGAATATTCTGCAAAGAAAAAAATGTTACAATCCGAAATAAATTATTGCTGGAGATGTACTCTTTCAGCTCCAGTGGGAGATATTCGACACAATTCACTTGGGGTTAAATTAACCTCAGTGCAGCAAACTTATAAATAGTTTAGGTACCATTCCAGTGCTACCATACAATCTCTATGCATTGAGAAAACTCTTATACCCAGTCATGACACTAACAGAACATTGTGAGGAAAATTATAATATTAAGTAGACTTCTGTCATTTCTGTTGGATTACTGAGGCCGATGTCAAGACATACGTATTGGATTAGACCTTCAGTGCAATCCTGTAGTCCTTACTCATATACAATATCCTTGAGCTTTTACTGTAGCTGCAGATGATATAAGTGTGACCTGTCAGTCTTAGCAGCTATTTTAAAAATGAGAAAGGCATTAATGTATTTAATACAAAACACTACTCTATGCTGCATAATTTGCCATAGCTGATGAGACCATTTATTTCAACCATTTAATTCCATCATGGATAAACAAAATGGCTGATATTATAGCTTAAATATGTACATACCTAGAATAAGAGATTTTAAATAGCTGCTTACATGTGCATTTGATTACCTTTGACTTATAGATACAGAGCACATGCAAACTAATCATATTATGGACAAACCTGGCAATACCAATAGCATACATGCTACAGGGGCAAAACTGAACATCTAGCATCTGATTTAACATCTAATTTAAAATATGAATGTCTGAAGACAAGCCCTTTAAGCATTTATGAATATATACAAACAAATGCATGAATAAATGGAGGACTCTCCATAAAGGCTGGCCATGTATGAACTTGGTATTTACTTTTTCTGATTTGGGACCCATTTAGAAAGAACACAGATTACTTGTATTAATGATCTTATTTATGAATCCAAGTGAAGCCCTATTTCAGTACTACACTATCTGTAACCGTATCCCATCAATTGCAAGTACTGAACACACAGAATGGCAAATTGCAGCCACAGAAGGAGAGGCCAAGTCGAGTCAGCACGCCAGTCATGAGGCCTAAAAGACCACCAATTTGAAATGAAAATATCTTTCTGTTTGTGGATTTGGCATCAAGATATCTAATTTACTGCAA